AGGATGGTGAAGAAGCCGGGAGGATGGAAGCAGAAACTGTGGCAGGGAGACAGGTTGGAGCTGCTGCTGTTTGGAATTCCAAGGGACATGACGAGGATAGAGTTCAAGAACTGGTGTGACACGGAGGGACTGCATTGCCTAGCAAGGGGAGAAGTAGGCAGAGAGCATGAACATTTCCGGGTGAAATTGACCAAGGGAGACAGCCAAGAGTGCTTGGGGGTTGACATCGAGAAGCTGTCGAACTACGTAAGGAAGTTTGGATGGAGGGTTTGCGTCGCGAACATGATAGGAACAGAGAAGGTAAGGCGACAGGAGGCGAGGGCGATAGAGGCGAAGAAGAGACCGGGCGGGGGAGACGAGCAGGCAAATCAGAAGAACGCCGAGAAGAAGCGGAAGGCGAAGGATAGAGTGCGCAAAATCTCCAATAGGGAAAAGCACAAGCTGAGAGTGGGGTCGTGGAACGTGTGCGGGTTCGCAAGGAGTGAGCGCAAGCGGTTGGAAATAGTGGACCAAGTAGAACAAAGCGATCTGGATGTAGTGGGGATCCAAGAGACGTGGGAACTGAAGGATGGGGACGTGGTAAGCAAAATAGGGAAGTACCGGTGGGTAGGGAAGGCAAGAAAGGGCTTAGACCCGAAGAAAAGGGGGGAGGGGGGAGTCGGATTCCTGGTCAAGGAACACTTGTATGACGTGGTGGAAGTAGTGATGAAAACGGAGTTCGAGGAAAGCCTATGGCTTAAGATACCTGGGGAGCGGGGTGAGAAAGATTTGTTTCTAGGGAACGTATACGTCCCACCGTCGTCGAAGAAAGTCGCAAGCAAGGCGCAGGAGAACTTCGGACAAATTGGGGAAGATGTCCAGAGGTTCAGTAGGAAGGGAGAAGTTGTCATGGTGGGCGATTTCAACTCCAGAGTAGGGAAAGCTTGCAGTAGAGGACAGGCGATCGGGCAGCACGGAGAAGACAAAAGTGAATGACAACGGAGTGAGGATGCTTGAATTCTTGGGAAGCAACGAGCTGATGGTGTTGAACGGTAGGAGGGAAAGCGATAAGCCAGAGTTCACCAGGCAGAGGGCAGTTTGCAATGAATACTCGATCCTCGACTACATCCTGGTAGATAGGGGGAGCACACAGGTCCCGGAGCTGCACGTAAGTGCGATAGATATAGGTTCGACCGACCATTTCCTCATATGGGCAAACATCGACCGATCTAGAAAGACGGAGAGTAAGAAAAAGAGGAAAGTGTTCCGGTGGAAAGTAGAGCGTTTGGGAGACGAGGGGACACGCGATGAATTCCAGAAGGGATTGGCTGGTAGTGTAGAACCCTTCAGAAACCTGCTGAGAAGCGTCGAAGACGGAAAGGTAGACGTACAAGCAGCAGGGGACAGGGTGATTGAAGGATGGGAGTCCATAGTGAACACAGCGGCAGAGAGAGTAGTGGGAAAGAAGGTGGTACGATGTGGGGTATCGGTTAAGTGGTGGGATGACGAGCTGAAAGAAGAAATAGGGGAACGTAGAGAAGTCTTCAAGCAGTACCTGGGTGAGGGGTCTGAAGAGAGTTGGGAAAAGTACAGGGCCAAGAGGAAACAGGTGAAGGGACTAGTGAAAAAGAAGAAAAAGAGCATTTGGGAAGAAGTAGTGCAGAAGGCCAACGGAGGCCTGGAGAGGAACGTCAAGCAGATGTGGGAAGGGATTAGTGGGATGGTAAAAAAGACCGCGCAAGGGGGGGATACAGGGGTAGCAACATTGCGAGGTGTGAACGGTGGACTAGTCAGCAGTGGGAAGGGAAAAAGGGAAGTTCTAGCAGGACACTACAAGAGACTTGGAGTGCCTTCGGAGAATGAAGATTTTGACCAAGTGTTTAAGAAGGAGGTGGACGCATGGGCCCAGAAAGAAGAAGAGACATCGAAGGCAGACGTTGGGAACGTAGAACTAGAAAAGGAGTTCGCTGAGGACGAGGTTGAGGCGTGTGTGAACAAGCTGCAGTGCCACAAAGCAGCAGGGGCGGATGAGATAGTAAACGAGTTCATGAAGTTTGGGGGCAAGGGGATGATCCAGCTGATGGTACTGCTATACAACTGGGTGTGGAAAAACGAGTATGCGCCAAGTAGATGGAGGGAAGGAGTGGTTGTGAACTTGTTTAAGAAAGGAGACAAGACTGACCCAGGAAACTACAGGGGTATCACACTGTTGAACACAGTAGGAAAAGTGTTCTGTATGCTGCTGAACGATAGGATAGTGGGAGTATTGGAGAAGAAACGTAGCATTAGTGAGGGCCAGGCAGGTTTCCGACAGAAGAGGGGGTGCGTAGACCACGCATTCACGGTAGGGAGAATCATCCAAGGTAGAAAGAGGGCGGGCAAGCGGACGTACTGCTTCTTCCTGGACGTGAAAAAGGCATACGATACCGTATGGAGAAATGGGCTGTGGAAACAATTGTCCAAGTACGGGATCAAGGGGAAAATGTGGAGGGTGCTGAAGAAGATGGCAGAGTGTACGAAAAGCGCGGTCATGCTAGACGGAGAACTGTCTAAATTCTTCGACATTGAGCAAGGGGTCCCACAAGGTTGCACGCTGTCCCCAACATTGTTCCAGGTGTTCATCAACGATCTGTTGGAAGTCGTAGAGGCAGTCCGGAAGGGAGTAAAAGTAGGGGACACGGAAACTTCGGTGTCAGGAATGCTGTTTGCGGATGACTTTGTTGGTGTGTCGGACACCCCCTGAGGGACTGCAACTGCAAATTGACGCGGCGAAGAAGTTTACTGATAAGTGGAGATTGTCTGCCAGCGTTACGAAGAGTGCCGTCATGGTATGCAACGAGGGCAGGGAGGAACCAGTAGAACATAGATGGAAGTGGGGGATCGAGGAGATTGCAGTAGTGGACCAGTACACATACCTCGGAGTAGAGATCGCAAAAGATTGCTCGTGGAATGCACACATGTCCAAGGTAGCGGAAAAGGGCAAAGCACGAGCAGGGAAGCTGCACCCAATACTCGCAAACCGGCACCTTGATACACGCATCAAACTGACGGTTTTGAAGAGCGTAATCGTACCGCCGCTGGAGTACGCCGGAGAAGTATGGGAAGGAAATAAGAAGGTAGTGAAAGAACTCGAGGCGGCGCAGATGAAAGCAGCGAAAATCATCCTAGGATGCTCCAAGCGCACAAGTAATGCAGCAGTCAGGGCAGAATTGGGGATCCAATCCCTACGGTCGGGAAGAGACGTAAGGAAGCTGACATGGCAGTACCGCATGTGCGGGATGGGAGAGGAGAGGTTGCCGAGAATAGTATGGGAGGCGAAGTGGGCAAACAAAAAGAGGGGTAGACAACCCACGGAATGGGTCAAGGTTGTAGAGGACGTATGGAAGGGATTGGACATCGACGAAGATGAAACGCTGGAAACGGAGGGTCTACAGGGGTTCAAGAAGAAGATATCTGTTGCTTGTGCCGAGAGAGAAGAACAGAATCTAAGGAAAGAAACCAAGGATAAGGAGGGTCTAGAAGTGTACGGAATGTTGAAAGAAGGAATAGGGTTCAAGGATTACCTACATGGACCAATGGATGCAGGGACAAAGCTTAAGGTCAAATTCAGGACCGGGGACATAGGCCTTCGCGAACGTCGACGAAGACATAGGACGGTAGACGACGAAGACGACAAGTTCAAATGCGATTGCGGCTTCGAATGCGAAGACAGTGTTCATGTAGTCGCGGAATGTCCGTGGTACGAAAAGGAGAGGGAAGTGTACATGACTGAGCTGGGAAGAATACAAGGGACGTACAGGGAGATGTTTGAGGCATGGAATAGAGAGGAGAGGACGGTAGCGGTACTGGGGAGTAGAAAGTGGTTTGAAAAAGCGGGAAGTGACATCGGTAGGATAGACAGACTAGGAAAGACATTTTTGAGCCACCTTTGGCAAAGTAGGAAGGAACGATTGACCATCGGTGATCGGTCCTGTGGGAACAATGCTCCGTCCTCTCGAGGACGCGTGGTCAATGGTCTAACCGCTAAGGCATGCAAAGCATAAAGAGTACGCCCCCCCCCCCCCCCCCCCCCC